AGTTTACCAGCCCTTGTTTCTGTTGTCTCTTTGCCTTGTCAAAGAAAATAGAACAAAGAAGATGAAGTGTTTATGATTGTTTTTAATAAACGGTTTCAATTCTGGTACCTCCAGGTGAAACATCTGTTACCATAATTCATTTATATAAGAAAAAAAAAACAAAATACAAAAAAATATATACACAACATTATGTAGGAGTGTAAACCCGTTGTAAATCATAATTGTCACAGGCACTGCTAACTAGAGGCGATGTGTAGGTGCATCTTATGTAAAACAAATCTGTTTTGTTCTGCGACAAAGAGGCATTTCGGATTTTGTCAGCTGGGAGACTTTAAAGGTTCCGTCAAACTTAACTTTAACAGAGCCCGTACGAAAGGCGCTCGAGCCGGTAATTAAACACGTTTCGTCGTTGCGTCTGGTTCTGATAACGGCAATTAGTATTTTACGCACGCAGCTTTTTTTTTTCTGTAGAATGTCAGGTGATTGGTGTGCTGTTATATTTTACATTTACATTTTCGACACAGAAAATGATCATTTAAAGGGTGCCTCCAGGCGACAAGTAAAATCAGTCCTTGAACTTCTGATGTTACCCAGGCAACATGGGGAACTGTGCTAAAGTTGGAAAGTCCGTTCAGTTTGCTTTCTGTCAACATTTGAAGTTGTTTTTATTGAGGCTGGATTGCAAATGATCATGTACAACCCCAGTCTTATGCTCCAGGTTGTGTGGGCGAGGGCTGCAGAGGCTGGTGACGCTACCTGGGAACGCACAGTATCCAGTCTAGTTAAAAAAGAAGAATCACTAAAAAAATGGGAGTAAAAAAAATAGGCAGACAGTATTTCTTGAAGGAACTTAAAGTGGGCATATTCCCTAACTTCGCTTATTTGCTCTCAGAAATCCCAGCAACACATTATACAGCAATGGCAACTGGCTATAGAGGACTACAAATCCCAGCAATACATTATACAGCAATGAAGGCTAACATGAAGCTACATACTCTGTGCTGTTCCGGGGTGCCAGACTGGTGTTGGTGCATCTCTTCTTCTTCTCCTCCTCTTCTTCTTCCTCTCAAGAGGGTTATATACTGATCGAATCTTGGCTGATTCCTGCTGAACAGGCCAAAATGTGTGCTGTGGGTGGTCCTGTTTGCAGCATACACTGTTTAGCATGGATAGGGGAATTGATGGATATTTTTAGCATGTATGGTCATCTTTAGGAGGACCCTGCTCGTGAGAGCTTACAATATAAAAGGATGGGGGGCAGGGGGTACACAAAGGTGATAACTGTGGGGGGATGAGTTGTTCAAGAAAGTAATAGTTCAGTTGGTAGGTTGAGATGTTTATAGACTTCCCTGAAGAGATTAGTTTTTGTAGGAATCATCTAAAGGTGGACAGAGTAGGAGATAGGTGGACAGATTGGGCAAGGAGAGCCCCAGAGGATGGGAGGAGAAGTCCTGGAGGGGAGCATGGAAAGAGGTGAAGAGGGAGTAGGAAAGCAGGAGGTACTGGGATGGGCAGAGAGGTTTGGGTTATATTTTGAGACAAGGTTGGTGATGTTGTAGGGAGAAGTATTGTGCATGTTAGTATTTTGAATTTCATTTGTTGGGCGAGCAGAAGCCAGTAGGGGGATTGGAATACCAATGGATTTTGGAGATTGGAATACCAATGCATTTTGTTACACCTGTTTTAAAAAGCTCTACGATCTCAGCAGCCCTGGAAGCTATATAAGAGGTTTATGTAGGAATAGATGGGCCAGCACAGACCACAATTAGACACTCCCAGAAAAGGAGAGGGCTGTGATATACAGGGAGGGAGAGAGAGATATGACTGTGCTAGGGAATTGATCTTTTCTGGAGTGGCTGAATTTCCTAGCAAGTAAAGAGGCACATTGTAAGTGAATAGCTTATAGTTGATGTAAAGAAAATATGCTACGAGTAATCATTTAGACTGTCATTTAGTAAGCCTTTAGCATTTTTCTGTGCTTTTACTTGCAGTTTTCTTTAAGTTTGTGGTCGGGTTTCTTTAAGCTTTTTGTTTTGCTATCTCCTTTTTAGGAAGATTCAGCTCCTATTATTTACTTGGGTCTGCTGTGATAGTGAGAATAATCCTTGAATTTTACAGAACAGGAGTAGACTAGGAGAAAATATGTCCCCATGGTTTGGGGACATCTGTCAAAGGTTGAATTTCCTCCAAGTTTTAGGAGATGTCCTTTAACGTTCTGTAATGTCTGAAAGGCAGGAAGTGATGAAGAATCTCCCCAATTGGTACACCATCAGCAAACAAACCTGGCAAAGGTTCCCCCTTCCATCCAAAACATTTTTGGGTTCTACTTTAAACACAGGAGTTAAATAATGATTAAAAGTGCGCTTTAATTTAAAACAATCACCAAATCATTACACATGTTTAATATAAATACAGTATAATGTATTCATTGTCAGACACAGCTACAGCCTATATAAATTCTTTAAAGATGACAAATTCTAATAGCATTAATTAAACAGGTCATATTTCATGAGCACTTAACATTTCCTTTTTATATCTAGACATTAATTTATGTTGCACTTTTACTCGATGTAGCTTTTTTTTTTTCCTTTTCGTTCTTTCCCTGCACCAGGAGTATAATTAAATCACCTGCAGAGTTTGGATATTTAATAACAATACGGCAAAACAGAACAAATTCCATAACACATCGAACAAAGCACCCCGTATAATTAATACCAAGCTTCTCTCATTAAAAAATAAGGCTCTTCACAGCCTCCCGGGCTATTTCGTACGTACAATGTGCAATGTTAATTTTCTCCTAACAGTTTCAGAGCTTGTGCTGATTTTATCACACAATAAGCATGTCTTCCTGGACTCCATAGTCACACCATGGATCCAGCTCACTATGATTGCAAGGAGGGGTAGGTGTTAAGGGATTTGGGATTAAACTGTGAGATTTACAGGACTGTATGAAACTAAAACAGCATTTTCCTTCTGCAAAAGAGCTAATAATATACACAGCCGTTCATGTAAGCGCTTTCATGCCCCAACATAATGTAACATATAGATCGTTAAAGTTGCACTCCGAGAAGGTGAAAATGTATTTTTCAAACAGTTACGACTCACTACAGCCTATATGAGCTTTTTCATGTGTGTGTTTTCTTTTATAGCTTTAGTGCTTCCACCCTTTGATCGATCAATTTCCCTCAAGATGTATGACTTGTTTATCTCATAGATGTATGACTTTCACTGTAGTTTGTGCTCTTAACTTGATCTAAGCATTGCTCCTCCATGGAGAGAATGGTTCCATAAATATGTAAGAGGGTTAAGAGGATGGATAAAGAGAATGTTGGAACAATGCGTGGATTACCTTTTTTAAGGTGAGATTCACCCTGAATTAGATCAATCCAAAGAAGGTGATGTTCTCCAGAGATTATTTATCCACTTTGGAAGAACAGTCAATTCTTTTGTTCACTAGTAGAGGGGTCCATTGGAACCATTAATGGTTCACTTCCTGGCATCTAAACCTGCAATTTATTTATTTATTTATTATAGCCGGTATTTATACAGCGCCAACAATTTTATGCAGCGCTTTACATAGTTGCACATTCACATCAGTCCCTCACAATCAGAGCTCACAATCTAAGGTCCCTATTGGCTCCTCTCTAAATTGGTCCTGCATTTAGAGAGGAGCCAATTAACCTACCAGCATGTCTTTGGAGTGTACCCAGAGGAAACCCACACAAGCACAGGGAGAACATGCAAACTCCTTTGCAGATAGTGACCTGGCCAGGATTTGAACCAGGGACCCCCTGTGCTGCTAACCACTATGCCACTGTGCTGCCCATCTATTCTTACCCATGAGCAAGTGAGACGGACTCAAGCTGAATCCCTGTGTACTAGATTATAGGGTCATCTGACCCCTTTGATATTGTTGCCCAATACTGAAGCACTATATGTTAGCATAAGTCATTGTTTTTTTTAATCACTTTTTGGTCTGTCTGTCTAGTTGTCACATGTTTCTGTTTTTGTTTTCTGCATCACTGACATTGCATTTTCATTTTGAAGCTTGATTCAAAAAATAATAATAGGCCTTAAATAAAAGCAAATACATAAGCAGGGTGCAGGGGCCAGGCTTCTGAGCTGGTGGTGAAGCTACAATCTGCATATGTACTCTATGGCCAAAAGTATGTAGGCACCCCTCCAAATAATTGAGATCAAGTGTTTCCAGTGAAGGGTGCTGTTAATGCTACAGGATACACAGATATTTTAGATAATTTGCGCACTTCCAACCTTATAGTAACAGTTTAGGGAAGGTCCATTCTGTTCCAGCATGAACGTGCACCCATGCATAAAGTCGCTCCCTAAAGACATGGTTTGATGAGTTTGGGGTAGAGAAACCCAAATGTCCTATACAGAGCTCTGACCTTAACCCTACTGAACACCTTTTGGATGAATTCAAATGCCAAATGTGAGCCAGGTCTTCTCATCTACCTTCAGTACCCGACCTCAACGATGCTCATTTTGCTAAATGGGCACAAATTCCCACAGACCTGCTCCTTAATCCTATGGAAAGCCTTTCTGAAAGAGTGGAGGCTGTTCTAGCCAAAAAAGGGAGACAAACTCTATACTTAAGGCCATGGTTTTGGAATGGGATGTCCATTGAGCTCTTATAAATATGCAAGTCGGGTGTGCAAACTCCATATAGTGTAGCACGCACCTAGTTCCCCGTTGCAGTTGGTTTTTAATAAAGGATATTCTGTCTGCATTTCACATTCACACAGCACCATTTCAGTCTTGTCGCTTGACAAAACAGCCTTGTCACTTTGTGCTGACTGACTGCTGTTTAACAGGGAATAATTTAAAAACTGCAGTTTGAAACCTTCAAAATAGACACAAGGAGACGACAATTTATTTTAAAACAAACAAACAAAAAAAAAACTGGTGAAACATCTTGATTTTTCTTAGTCATAGTGAAGCTTGCAATAACACTCCTTTTATTTTCTTCTCTCCTTCTACAGCTGGGTCAACAACTTTGGACATGAAGGCCTTGGTGTCCTTTTGGATATTCTGGAGAGACTTCTGGATAAAAAACAGTAAGGAACCCATCATCTTTCTTGAACAAAATGTCTTGTTTATTTATTTGATCCTGGATGAAGTTTGATGCCTCTAGGTGTTCACAACTCTCCAGCACTCCCAGCTGAGATCAACCCCTCTCCCGCCCTTCCTCATCACCCATGATACAGCTATGATAGTTTGGGCTCGGCTACTGTTGCCTTATGCTGAAGCGGGCACCCCACTACAGGTTCCACACCGTTTCCTGGACTTTTTAGAGTTTTAGTTGGGAGTCACATGTGGTTTTCATCTAATCTACCCTGGATGTAACTACCAGAAATGATTGGCTTAACGTTAAGATAGGTTTAAGTTGGGTTGACAAGGACACAAGGAAGCACAGTGATCTACTGCTGCAGGAAGACACTGGGCAGAGCTGCAACAGCTCTGCCCGAGCCTTCATACTGACATTAAGTGCCGTGGCTCACCTATTGGGCAATGTTTGAAAGGACTGGAGGCTTGACCATTTCTACTCCTGAGCTTAGCGCTGATCTCTGCCAGGACCCATGGTGGTTCCAGCTCTAGAAGATGCCGGGACCCATATAAGAAACTGACCGCTAGCAGTTCCAGGTCTAGAAGATGCCAGGATCTGTAGGAATCACTGACAGCTATTAGTTCCAGCTCTAGAAGATGTCAGAACCCATAGAAGCAACTGCCAGCTAGCGGTTCCAGCACTAGAAGGTGTCGGCACCTGTATGAGTCACTGACAGCTAGTGGTTCCACCTCTACAAGATGCCAGGACCCATACAAGCAACTGGTGGCTAGCAGTTCCAGCACTAGAAGATGCCATGACCTATAGGAGTCACTGACAGCTAGTGGTTCCACCTCTACAAGATGCCAGGACCCATACAAGCAACTAGCGGCTAGCAGTTCCAGCACTAGAAGATGCCGGGACCTTTAGTAGTCACTGACAGCTAGTGGTTCCACCTCTACAAGATGCCTTGACCTGCAGGTGTGGCTAAGTATGGACAGCATTTCAAAATTGCACTGGGACAAACAACTGCGGTCCCTGTGCCATCTATAAATGGCACCCAGGACTCAAGTGGTTAAGTTGTCACCAAAACAGTTATCGAGGTGAAATTATAAAATGGGAACACACATGTTCCAGTGGCAAAAGTCTAAGAGGATTTCCCTCACTTTGAAACATTTCTCCTGACTATCCTTCCCTTCTCTAAAAATAAAAAAGAAAGTTTTTAGCTAAAGTTTAGATATCCACGAATATGCACTCTGACTTACAACATGATTGAATATAAATTCATAACAATCACTAATAATTCAAATAAAGTAAACAGCTTATGAAGAGGGGGAAAAAATAATCCATCAGTGATCAGAAGTGTTATTATACTTTATCCACACATATTGTGAGCCGCTCACTCCTCAATCATGTTAATCAGTTTCTTTTTGAAAGGCAGACACCTAGAGCAACCAATCAGATGTGACTTCAAATATGATTGGACAGACACATTTCTCTTTGCTTTGATAAATATGCTAATTGGTTATGTTTTTTTGTTTGTTTTCTTCTCAAGGCAGGAGAGTATTGACAAGAAAAATCAACATAAGCTCATCCAATGCCTGAAAGCATTCATGAACAATAAGGTAGGTGAGAAGGCCCCGAGGAACGTTCCCAAACAAATATTTAATATTGTATTTTCATATTAATAAGTAGAATTGCTTTGTATCTGTGCATCTTGTCAGTTGTTTATTCTTCCTCTGCTTCAAAAGTACATAGTTTTTTTTTGCTGTTGTAAATAGCCTTTTTTAATTTCTAGAATGTTCCTTAATGTTACAAAAATAGGTGATTAAATATATGTCAGTTATGGTCCCAGGAGATCCATGTTTAAAGAAGTGCCATCACTAGTGTTAACTATGGGCCCATAAGCCTGTTTTATTACACAATGTTTAAATGGCCAACTCTACCCACATTAATTTTTGCTGAGTTGGGCTGTCCAGTAATTACTGGTGAGTTGGGCTGTCCGGTCATTATTGATTGAGCAGTGCAGTGCTGGGATTTCATTGTAGTAATTTGTGTCTCTGTGCTGTCCTGCAAAGATAGAATACAAGTGTTCCTCCCATGGAGTGCCCAGTTATAGAACTCAATATTACACAAAATCCATTTGGGGATGTGACACCATCAATAGCACTTTATGTACAATTGAAAATTGTTTTGAAGATAATTTTTTTTTTCATCTCTGGACTCCCAAAGAGACATATGAATGTGGCATGTGATTCAACCTGTCATAACATTTTGGGAGGAGTTTCCCATATTTACCCTGTTTCGTTTTAGCACTATAGGTTCTGAGATTCAATAGGTGAGTAGAACCAATACTGACCCTTGACGAACCCATAGCTACAATGCAAATGACCTAAGCTCGCTTTCTTGGCAATAAGGTCTCCAGCACATTCATCTCTGGGGGTGATTTTTTTTCTCAGGATGTACAAAAGATGGTAATTGAGGTTCTAGTGGTATCTCAGTGTTAATGTTTCAGGGCAGGACAGCACAGAAAGGGTCATGTGATTGCTTTTCACTCAGCACAACAAGCTGACTAAAGCTCTCTGCTTCTTACAGAACCACAAACATATTAAAAAAGGGAATTAAAAAAAAATACTACATCCCTACACATTTATAGGGGTTTTCGGAGGGCCACAACGTATTATATTCCTATCTATTTGAGGCTCTGTTGGCAAGATCTCCTTATCTTGCCAATGTGGTCCCCAGCACATTTATCTCCAGGGGTGGATTTTATCTCCGGATGTACAAAAGATGGACGCCAGTCACTTTAGTTTGAGGTTTTTCTATTTTATTCACACTAGTGGGAGGAAAACTGAAAGGAGGGTGCAGGGAGCACATAGAACATTGTCTCTGGTCTTCTGCACCTTTCTGAAGTATTTGGGTCACTCTCTCACTGGGCTATGCTGACTGGACACCTAACTTAGAATGTAGCTTCTTGACATCTGAGGTTCAAGCGGGATCTCAATCTTAATGTTTCTAGGCAGGGTGGCACAGAAAGGTTCCTGTGATTGCTTTCCACTCGACCAGTCCATCACCACTACCCTTGTAGCACTCCAATCCCTAGGACAAAAAAGGCCAGGGAGAAAGATAGTTTTCAAGGTAGCATCCTTAACAGACAGAGGCTCAGGAGGGATGACCAGGAAGGGCTTCAAACATTTATTACCTTCCCAATCAGTTAATCAGGCCCCCCCATACCTGCTAAATGGCTGAGGTACTCAACATCCATAACACTGAATGTTTTTTCCAGGCTTGGTAGGTTACGAGGATGTTTTCTGAGCATTGTTTGTATTGGTAAAAAAGCATTGCAGATTAAAAGCCTTCTTACTCTCTAAGGGGACGTCATCACAACAAAAGTAACAGAAAGCATGGGGAAATAGTGAGTGTCTTGCATGGGACAGACCTAACTAAGAGCAAAAGGCGGGGGAGTTAACAAAAGAACATGCTTTATGCGCAAACATAAATGTAGAACAGTCTGCTGTGGCAGTAAAAGTCCACTCTCTTGATGGCCTGAGGAAACAGTAGTGGTATAGCTGGTGGTTGGAATGACCTGAAGATTCTTTGGCTAGTGTAGTTCTGCAGGAAGGCAAAGATTAGAGGAGGGGCAGATAAGTATTATTTGTCTTCTAAGGGAGATTGCAAGTTGTCTTAAGAGCAGCACCACTGGATTCAATGAAAGAGATTAGAAACCACAAAGTGGTGTAATTCCAGAATCCTTTGAAAACGTGACACACCTTTTTACTATTCTTTTTTTCCCTTTTAGCTGGACTGATTTTTTTTTTGTAATTGGATGTTTCTTTAGTAAGTAAACCATGAACCTAGAAGCCCTAAGTAAAGCTACTTGCATCATTCTTTTTACAGTATGGCCTGCAAAGAATTCTGGGAGAAGAACGAAGTTTGCTCCTGTTGGCCAGAGCGATTGATCCCAAACAAGCCAACATGATGACTGAAATCTTGAAGATCTTGTCTGCCATCTGCATTGTTGGAGAGGACAATATGTAAGTTAGGTTGTGTAATGTGAAAGATTTGTGATTTAAGGTGGAATTCCAGCTGACAGTTAGGGTTTTATTGTTTTGGACAGAGTAGAGTAGTGAAAGAATCTCTCCGTTTTTATTGCCGTCTTGTCCCTATTGGGAAATTTTCACTCATTTTCTCTCCCAGGGACACAACAAGAAATGAGAGGAAATCTCCATGTAGTGAAGATAAATCCTACCTTTGACAGATGTCACTGTAAAATGAGTCCCTATTGGGAAATACTACCTCAACTCTTCTTCCAGTGTCAGTTCTAAAACTTTACATTTCCCAGCACTTTCCAGGGAATATCCTAAACAGGCACGCAGACTAACAAACCCCCCCCACTCCAAAACTCCAAAACATATATCCAAGAGTTGTCGGGACTTCAAAACCCATTAGTTCTATAAGATGGAGAGAACATATTCATTAATTGAGCTCACTTGCTCTGGGGAGGCTGCTCACGTAAAACAAGGCTTCCCTTGGAAGGTAACCAAAATTTGACTCAAAGTGTAAAAAGACCAAAAGAGCATCCAACCAAATTTTCAAAAGTGTCCAAGTTATGGTAACTATTCGTAATATGATTACATAGAGCAGCCAATGTTTTTTGGGGGCCCATTTCACCACGTCTTGGAATACTTATCAGGACCCAATAATCGTTATGCTGCCATTTCTGATATTGGGACACGACCGCCTGGCAAACAAGCCAAATCTATTACAAATTTGTCTGGTAAACCTGTTTCACGGAGTCTACTTAAGCCCTGGTAACAATTATAGGCCCTGAAGAAGGGGGAGTGAGTTGGGCCCCAAAATGCTTTTTCTGCTGTATGTTATTCTATTATGAATTATTAAACTGACTTGGGCTCTCTCATCATCTTGTTTTAGTGCTTCTTTTGTGTTTTTACACATAAACATTTAAACTATTTCAGTAATAACACATAGTTGAAAAGGAAGCCAAAGTTGAAGGTTTAAAATATATGAGATGCAGGATTGATTGTCCAATGATAAAGAATAGTTGATTTTGTTTTTGTTACAATCTGTAAAGAATCCAATCTCCCTCATATTACTGGTGACCCCACTGCAATCTGCGATAAGGTGAAGGCTTACCTTTTGTGTCTTTTATTCCCGAGGCTATACAACATCTGTGATAAAACATTATAAAATATATACAATTCAGTTTCTGTTTCAATATGAAACAAGTTATGTCTTTCATTTTCCAATCTAAGCTAACAAAATGAATAGATCCTGCTTGTTGTAAGGTTTTGCTAAAACCAAAACATTTTCTCCCATTTTCAATAGAGTAGGGATTGTTCTTTAAAAAAAAAAAAAAACATTGGGAATATTTCTCTTAATTTCCTATCTTGGTAACATAACAGGAAACAAAAAGGAAGCATCACCAAAGTGAGGGAAATCTTCTGGTTGTCACTAGATCATCCCCGTTGGAAGATTTCAAGTCTATTTATTTCTGTTAAAGTGACACTCAAAACATGTGACCGGGTCCCAGTGGCAATGGTCAGTAGGACACATAGAGTGAAATTTAGAATTGATGCACCACATTGTAATATTCAAATCCAAGTCAAAGTGACGCTAAACGATGGAGTTAAATCTTAAAAATGCATTCAAGTACCTTCACTATTAACAAAAATGTACCTTGTTTGTGCATCACTCGGCTGTAGATCCTCAAACCATCTCTGAATTTGTGCTGACACTGTCCTTCCTTCTGGAGGGGGGCTACGTTTGTTCCCCATGGTCACTGTGTGTGTTGTAAAGTAGCCACCGCTCCAAGGTCATGGCCGTGATGGACTACAATTTCAATGCAAATTATTAAACTAAATGTGGGATTGTAGTCCATCACAGGAGTGAGCTTGGAGTGGTGACTACTTTATTACACACACAGGGACCATGGGGAACAAAAGTAGCCCCCCTCCAGAAGGAAGGACAGTATTGGCACCAATTTAGAGGTGATTTGAGGATTGTGAGTTTGCACAGCATCTGTCAGCATCGGGGTTGAGCAAACACCCAACACTTCAATAACATCTAACTATAGGTTGATTATTATAAATTATTATTGTACACTATTTCAATGGTTTGTTTTCCCAAGCCCTGATTAAAGGGGATGAAGGTACAACCCCCTGAAATGTACTAACTTTGCAAGCAATCTATCATTGAATACACTTGTTATTAAACTTGAATATGCGTGGTGTGGCACTTCAATTCTAAGTTCATTCATCCCCACCACAACCTAAGGTGATTATGGCAACCCTATAGTGTGTATAAGCTGCCAGCCCAAATATTCAGATTATCTGTATTTATACTAATGCCACCCTGCTGGATGATACAAATATGAAATAAACATATTAAGGGTTCCATTGCTATTCATGTACTGCTCCAAGAAATAAAAAAACTTGTTCGTCCTTTTTGTTTTAGCTCCTTACCACAAAATAAATAGTTTTTGGCTTTAGCTGTTCCCAAAATTGCTGTTTCAGTTTAGGATGATTGCTGGCAAGTGGGATTATGTGCTTTGTCCTTACATCTCTTGAAGATTCGAGGACAGTTCTCCTACTAGAACTGCCCATTCCACCTCACTCAAAGTCAGATGATGACAATTCTCCAGTAGAGTCTCCTTAATGTAGAGTAAACCACTGGCAGGCAGAGGAGTCATCGGTAGAAACCATCTTTATGGCCTTGTGGAGATTGGCAGAAATTACTAATGTGTGATCCAGCCAATTAATAACAAACAAGGAAAGGAGTTTTGAGTGTAGTAGTCCTTTAAAAAACAAAAAGCAAAATTGGGGTCTATTGGGTTTTCGATTCTAGTTGTGAAACAAAATTCATACTGTGTCTTCTCTTAACTAGCTTGGACAAACTTCTCGAGGCGATCAGCACCGCGGCTGAAATCAACAACCGAGAAAGATTCTCTCCAATCGTTGAAGGCCTGGAGAATGACGAAGCCCTTCAACTACAGGTGAGTCTCTGCAGAAACTGTGGTTTCCAGTGTAACGTAATGAACATCACATCCTCAGCTCCAAGAGAAACTGCTAATTGAACCCTGTTCATGGTTCATATGATTCCAAACCAGATAATTCTCTGTTCAGGAACTACTCTACAGGTTTCCTGTATTTAATGTAGAACTCCATCTAAGTTCAGGCCCTCCTGAGGTCCTGGGTTATCTAGCAAAGGAATAAAACTATTATAATTTATGCTTGATGATTGGCTCTTCAACAAGCTAAGATAATTAAACACAGCCAAAGTAAAAAAGTGAATCAGTTATGTAATACTTATTGCAGAGAAATTAGGAACTGGACATTTCTCCTTAATGCTGAACTTCTAGCAGGTATAAAAAACCAACATTAATGCAGCTCCATAGTCAGTCATTAGTACATTATCAAATGTCTGTTTATTTTTTTGGAAGCAGTGCAAAATCTCTATTTAACTTTCTATCAGTGAGTTGTAATCTCTGTACAGAAGCATTTAGTCTGGGAGATCCAGGGCTAGAACCCATCCAGGTAGCCTTCATGCAAATGTGCTGATAAGGAACATGCTGATGGGAGAGAGACAAAAAGCAAAGTGAGCAGAGGGGTGACCTTATCAGTCTCCTGGTGCTCCCACATTGTCCAATAAGCAGGGTGGGGATGGAGATATCCAGGGCTAGAAGCCATTCAGGTAATCTTCATGCAAACGTGCTGACAAGCAGGGCCGGATTTCCCACAAGGCCAACCAAGGCCCAGCCTCTGGGCAGCAGGGAGTAGAGGGGCAGCAGGGGTGTGGAATTCATATCTCCTGACGCCCGAGGCATGCAGTTCTGCCTACCGTGCGGGTTGTTGTTTCCTACATTTAGTCCTGCTTTGGGCAAGCAGGGCTAAATATACAGCGGGGAAGCCATCGCTTGTTTTGTACAAGTGATCTCAGCGATCTCGCCGAAATCACTTGTATGCAGCCTGCATACAGGGGGAACCTGGCATTGAGGAACCTGGCATTGGGGCAGCAGAGAGAGTAGATCCGGCCCTGCTGACAAGGACCATGCTGATAGTGAACAGAGGGGTGACCTCCTCAGTCTCTCGGTGCTTCTACACTATCAAATAAGCTGTATGGGGTTGGAGAGATAACGCCACTGTATTGCTTAACTGTAACAGAGAAAGTGGTGTCATCCATCTTGCATGTGACGTGTAAATCTCAGGACTGGATGGACAGTAATACAAATCTGTGAGAAAAACAAAAGAGAAGGGTGCCCACCCTGGTGTAGATGGTTTTTTAATGATATAAGCTGAAGTACAGGATAAAATCATACTCACAAAAGTGAATCAGTAAAAGCATAAAAGGCAAGCCTGGACGACATCTAAAAACGGCTGCACAGACACCTGTGTGACAGCACAGGACTCCTTCGATGACACGTTTCCCGGGGGCCACGCCCCCTTCGTCAGAACAACTACACATCTTTTTGCATGTTAACAAAGCTCCCCTTATATGCACAGTATTTTATTTTTGTATGTAACTGTTTGACTGGAGTTCGTCTTTTAAAGTGATTTATAAGTGCGTGAACTGTCATATAGATTGTAGTGAAGACACTTCGGGCAGCGTACAACGTTGATGCAAGCTCCTTGCAAAATAATTGGCTGACTATATTTCCAACTCACCAAATTGCTGCCTCTGCTATCTATTATGACTTAGTGGAAAGTATTTGACAGGTTGTCAATATGTCGAACTGCCAAAATTACTTCTAGGAACGATTGTTAACAGTACGGTTGATCTTGTGTGGTTGGCTGTTCTTGACTTTCCACTCCTAAGTGTGAGAGCTCTCCTTGAAAAATAAACTTCCTGATAGCTATAGCAGAACTGAAAATGCCCTTGCTTTATCTCCATACACTTTTTAGGCTTTATTTCTAAATTCTATATGATTGAGAGATTGAAAGAGAACTAGTCACCATGGGGCTTCTGGAAGAATTTTAATGTTTTGTCTTCCAGTATTAAGACTGTGCAACTGTTTATGAACGGTTTGAAGTAGATCTTTTCTTTTTTTTTTTGTTTTACATACTTTAGCCAAGTCTTTCTTAGCCTTTTTACCCTTGAGGAACCCTTGCAATAATCTTCAGGCTCTTCGAGAACCCCTGCTGAAAAGCATTATACTTACAGCCCATGGTCCATTTAGTATGATCAATAAGTTGAAGAAAGTTTTAAATAAAGACTTATGGTTCACTTTGCTTATTTAGTTCTCAGGGCAAAGAACTGCATTACCAACCCCATCAAAATAATTTTCAGTAATAATTTTGAAATAATAACTGAAAAAAAGGAAAGCAAACAATGACATTTGTGGTGTCCTCCAACATTAGTTGTCAGCGTATAGGGGAGCCCATAAATTGGTGGATTGGAGAACATTTGCCTCCTTGCATTTGATAGAGGTTTCATCTTAATTTTCAGCTTGAAGGTTAGGGGTATCTCAAGTTGTTTCGCTGCCAGCTGTCTTACCTTACACTTGGGGGCATTTATCAGTTCTGTTGCACACCAAGGCAATGCTAAACAGGCTAATATTCATTAATAGTACTGAAGACTGTAAATATGGTGTCCCCCAACATAAGTGGCCATGTAGAGGTGACCCCTTACATTGATGGTTAGTGGAAAATTGTCCCCTTGGGTTTGATAATCCAGTGTAGGTGGGAGATTAGTCCACCATTGCTCACTCCTCAAGGAACTCCTAATAATGTCAGGATGAACCCTAAAATTACATGGGACCCTGTTTGAGAATCACTGCTGTAGATATATTTTTTAGCTCGAGTTCATCTGAAGTTATTGCCCTGTCACCTGTCTTACCTCACACTGAGGGCATTTATCGGTTCCGTTGCACGCCAAGGAAATGCTAAAGGGAAGTGAGACAGATTATGAAACTGAATTCTTATTCAGTTCCGCTTGATTCATATATTCCTCCCTCAGCTGTTCTAAAGCAGCCCTGTGACAGAATAAAACTGACCCCTGACCCCTTCCAAATAGTGCGCATGTTCAGAGGGAAAAATCTGTCTCCTTCAGTGTTAGAGTAAATCTGTTACAAAATGTATGCAAATATGCTGCAGTTGGCTGCCCGGGATTCCAGCTACAGGGGTTATAAATGCAAAGAAAAACTGTTATGTATACTTTGCTGAGTGGAATCATCATATTGTGTTGCTGATTTCCTTTATAAATGTCTCCCAAAGCTGAAAACTGCATAATAGTGTTAAAGCCCAATTTTAATTTTTATCCCCTTCTTGCCCCTCAGTTCCTTCCTCCCAGAAGGTCGCCCCCACCCAATTTTTTAACATTTTCTGTATGCACACCTTTTTTCAATAGTGCTTAGGTCACTCACAAGCTGTCCCCAAATCCATAATTTCTGCAGTGGTGGCCAGTCCTGAGTGGTGCCATGTAGTGGCTTGAGCACAGTTCTCTTCTGCATTCCATTGAGTTCAGAGTTTTGATAACATACCCCTAGGGGGTGGGTCCTTGACTCTCTGGGCTCACAGGAATTGGGTCGAATTTATCTGGGTTTCATGAAACTTGGAAGAGGGCTTCCGCTGGGCCCCGTAAAACCACCCCTGGGGCAGCACTGGAGTATTGAAAGGTTGAACATTGCTTGTAAAACTTTTTTGTTGTTAATGCCAGTTTTACTTAAAAAAAAAAAAAAGAAGAAAAAAAGGCTAAACATGGGTTTTGAATAACTAGAAGGCTCTTTCATTTGATACAGTTATGAAATTGCAAACCTTGGAGGACAGCATGAGGTCAGGCAGTTGACAAAGCAGCAACTTAAGTGTACACCATTCCTGTGGCTTCCTCCTAGTCACCGTCTTATCCCCACCCTGTCTGTACCACATTTACAATTGTGCTTCTATACGTCACATGACCCTTACCCTTTGCAGACATTTTTAGCACAGAAGTAATTTACATGCAGGGTCTAATCATCAGAAGAGCGCCTGTTATTAGCTTCCTAACTGCTGTATGTCTCTTTAATCTGCCGTTAAGAATTTAGCATAACTGCTTTCACCCAGAAAACGGCGTTGTTAACACGGCTGGTGGTTTGTTTCACTGGAATTTTAAAAATGGCCACCTCCGCCGTGGGACATTAACCGCCGATAATGGCGCATTCCTGCAGATTATTGTCTTTGTGTTCCGTCACTTACTGCTTGTTTTGTTTAATAGCGATTGTGCCGAACAGAAAAAAAATATGTAAATGGTGCGCGATCTCCCCTGCATATAATACGATGCCATGTAACCATTTCAGTGCTCAATCGAGATTTTAGGTTCAGCTAGTGGCTGCCGGGGCCCCGATTTGAAGGAATGCTGGTTTATTAGGTGATAAAGGCATGGCGGAGTGCAGACACACTGGGCAAATCATGCAAAGATGAGCCAATCTATTTGCAGGATAGTAAATTTGGAGGGTGTATGAAAAGATAATGGTAGTTCAGAGGTTTCCAGTTACAGGGATTGATTTGCTCTAATCACTCTGATTGGCCACAGGATAATGAAGGTGACAATGGCGTTTTTTGCTATTGTTCAATCCACCCGATCTGCTTCAATCCACCCAGCATCATGAACCTATCCATTAACCAGTAACGTGTGGGCCTGTCACAAACCCGTGTAGGAAGCTTCAGACTTCACACCAGATGAGCTTGAAATGCATTGTGCCAGTCATTTCGAATGCGGCATGTTCCTTTAAGAGCCACATGCAGCTTAGATGAAAAGATAAACCAAAATGCATCATGGAGGACTTTTTGCCGACTTACCATCAGGGCTGGATTTACTCTCTCTGCTGCCCCAAGGTCAGGTTCCTCAATGCGCCCCCCAGTATGCAGGCTGCATACAAGTGATCTCAGCGACATCACCAAGGTCCCTTGTACAAAACAAGTGGCAGCTTCCCCGCTGTACATTTAGCCCTGCTTGCCCAAAGCAGGGCTAAATGTAGAAAACAACTAAGCGCCCGGTGCCCAAAACTGCATGTCTCAGGCT